GTATAGTAAAAATGTTTTAGCAGACAATCTGCCTTATAAAATCACTAAAATTTATATAAAATGATAAATTCTTTCCAAATAGATCTATTCATTTCATCTGGTGAGGGACTTGTGGAGCTGCGCATCGATGAATTTTCTTTTCAGTGTTTAGACTTTCAGTAGTGAAAACTAAACCACACTGAACTGAACTTCTATGTTAAGCTGATTTGACACAATCTACATTGTAAAAGCGGTATTGAAATAAAGATAAACTGATTTGAATAGAATAAAAAATAAAATATCGTTTTTTAACACATAGTATTCATTTTTTTTACCTCTTTTTACAATGCAGAAGTGCACTCAGTTTTGCGATTGTTTTAAAACTTCCGATTTAGTCGCCTAACCGTACGTTCACACCGAAAGCGGCGAGAGCGTCAAAGTAGTCGAAAGTCATTAATTTTCAATGAGAGCCGGTGGCAATAGGCGACGATAAGTAGCGTGGAGCAGCGCGGTGCGTCTTCACCGGCGTGAGCGTCGAGGAGAGTTGAAATGAAGTCAACTTTATGGTAATGAGCTATGACGCGGTTCGGCGGCAAGCAATCAGAATGAAGACGTCCACCGCTTGATAGCAGTTCAGGGAACACAGACCAGTGAACTTTGGTTCCGACCACAGTTGTTCCCAAGGGTTTGATTATTGCGGTCGCCGGATTTCCAATTATTTACAATGTTTTCTTACAGGAACATACATTAAATAAGTTACTGATGTTTATTAATGTTATATAAATTTATCTTAAAAAAGAGGGAATCTCACGCGATGTGACAGTACAAAACAGTATAGCTGCTTCAGGATATTTCAGACATATGGACACATATTGGATAAATAGAGCAAAGCCACACCACATGCAACTTGATCTTCCATTGTTTTATGAATTTGATAAGAAGTGCGCAACATTTTCACGCTAGAAACATGCCTTATGCAGGAATGTAACTGATATGCTGCAACTGCTCCTTTAAGTACGAGATCAATGTAGCGAGTTTTGACGCTCTCGCCGTCGGAGCTGAAGGCAGACAGCGTTGTCGCCAGGGCGGCCAGAGCGACCTTGGACGCTCTTGCCGCTTTCGGTGTGAACGTACGGTAAGGAAATTATAAATGGCATTAAAACGCTTTTACTACTTGCTGAACAAACAAGTGTTTACATGACTATAAAGTCAAAGCACAATATTATATTAAGAAAATATAATTTTGCAACATGAAGCAGCATAACAAGCTGTTTTTAACATCTAATAATAAATGGAAGCGAATGAGACCAGAAGTCTAGAGCCAAAAAGCTTAAAATGGCCACACCAACTGGTACGAGAAGAAAAAGGTGAGTTATATGAGCATTTTCAAGTTCAGTTAATTGACTTTAATGACAATGACTGGGTTTTTTTCATTGCCTTTCAAGTGAAATAACTTAAAAAAAAAAAAAAAGCTCATTTAGGGGAAAATTTTAGATTGCACTTCAAGTCATCATACTAAATTTTATTATATTATAAAATGATTAAAAGATAAAACGGTTAATAGGAATGGTTACAAAGGGCAAAGTTTTAAAATAATAATTAACACTGAACTTTTTAACATAGCAATAAGTGCTTCTGCACTGTTAAAAGTAATTGGTTACTAGGCTTGTCACAATAATCAATATATAGACTTATCGCACAACACATGAACATGATCTCAATCACTTTTGGTGATGCAATATACATCGCCTATACATACCAATTGTAGCAACATTTTAGGTGAAGGTGCAGCATGTCTATCTCTTTTGGAGGTGTCCATGTCTTTAAGATTAAAAAAAAGTATAGTATTTTTACTAGTATATTTTTATGTGGGTTTTTGACAAGTGAAAATAGATCTGTTAGCAGATATCGCAGCCTCTGGTACTTTTTTGTTAACATTTATTATTTATTATTATGTATTTAGGATATGCCTTTTCACATTCTGCTTCTATTATTCATTCATTCTTTTTCTTTTCAGCTTAGTCCCTTTATTAATCCGGGGTCACCACAGCAGAATGAACCACCAACTTATCCAGCACGTTTTTACGCAGCAGATGCCCTTACAGCCGCAACCCATCTCTGGGAAACTTCCATCCACACAAACTCATTCACACACACTTTCATACACTACGGTTAGCCTACCCAATTCACTTGTACCGCATGTCTTTGGACTGGGCGGGAAACCGGAGCACCCGGAAACCCGTGTGAACGCAGGGAGAACATGCAAACTCCACACAGAAACGCCAATTGACCTAGCTGAGACACGAACCAATGATCCAGCGACCTTCTTGCAGTGAGGCGACAGCACTACCTATTGCGCCACTGCGTTGCCCGCATTCTGCTTTTAATGACTAATTATTAATTTGTTAAAATAATTATAATTAAATTAAATATTCTTAAGAATGACAAATTACGGAAGAGTGCACTTGCTTTGTGATGATATTATATTGTCGTTCAGGCATATAATAAGGGACATGAAATGGTCTTAAAGAGCACCTATTATGGGTTTTTGAAAATGACCTTCTATGCAGTGCGTAACACGGCTCTAAGTGGATGAAAATATCCAGCTGTGATTTAAATCTGAAAGTGCACCATGTTTAAAACTACTGATTATTTAACTCAACAGTCAACTCACAGTCAAATAAAATAAGTGTGTTAGGATAAAATCTTTTGCTTGAACGCATCAACGTCGATACGGTACATCACCAAACATGAAGTTCCGGTTTCAGTAAAAAAATGTTATTTGCGCTCCTCCCTTTATATACTAGAGGAGCGCAGGGGATAACGAGATTGATTATAACACGAAGATGACAGTCACTGTCAGATGGAGGTTTGGCTGCAGGGAATAAAGGGTTAAAGTAAATTTTCACAACAAAACCACAAGTATAGCGAACCTAGTGCTGTGTTTGTTCCTGTCATTTTTCAGATTTTTGATACAATAACCTATGCTGCAATGCTGGATTCATCGGCTGACTGCTATTAAAGGAAGGAGCAGCAGAGACTAATATGTATGGGACTTTGTCAGACTTTGACAGGTCAGTAACTGTTACAGTTTATATGGATCAGTTTCCACCAGATCATAACATGTAAAGTAAGGGTTGCCTCATTTTCTTTAGTTTGCAAAATATGTATTTAATAGTGTGTTGTAACTTCAGTGCTTGTACTGTATCTCTCGGGGTGAATCTTTGAAGCAATTCACATATTACATCCAAAACCCCGTTAAAAACCAGACATGTGCTTTTACCTTTGGCGATTTAAATGCATTTCTGAATTCATCTTTTGCCATTTGCTGTTGCTATGGCCACCATTAGCTTTTCCTCACAAAGGTGGCGCGGCCAATTTTCTAAATATTTAAACTTTTTCCACTGTGTGGATTAATACTGAATGTGTCATCGTCATTATCATCACTTGGGGTTAGGTTTAAGAGTAGAGTAATATGCTTCTGTTTAATGCTTTATTGCATTCCTGCATTGGACTCTCACATACTCTGTGCTACTTCATAACCATGGTGGGCGTTTCTCTTTGTCTCGAAGTCAAATAGTTGGCCACAATTGCAACAGACTGGGTCATCGGACCAATCACAGCAGATTAGCCTTAAGCTAAGCAGGGGTTTGGGAACAAATGAATCGCTTAACAAATCATATGGGAGCCGTTGGGATAGTTAGATATAAATAAATGCATATTATAAGACAAAGAAAGTGTTTTTTGACCTTGCATGCAAATCAGCCTGCTGTTGGAGACCCCCAAAACAAAAATATGACTCTTTATAATGCAAAATAGAGGCTGTTTAAAATAACAATAATACTGTGTATCGCAATATATTTTGGTGCAATATATATATATATATATATATATATATATATATATATATATATATATATATATATATATATATATATATATATATATACATATACATATATACATATATACATATATAAAAGTTAATATTCAAAATAATACCACATATATATATATATATAATATACTTACACAATATACTTACTTTTAAGTCAATGGTTTTACTCTAACTTTTCTGAAGCAAAGTCAACTAATCGCTTTTTGTGGCATTACTTCATATGGTAGTCTCATATTTGCTCAAAAAACAAATATATAAATAAACTGGAAGCATTCTAATGTATGTGGAAAATTATAATCTAAAGCTGTATTAGAGCGTTATCCCTTTAACCCCTGAAAACCCCTTAAATCTGGCCTCATATTGAAGTCATTAAAGATTGCAAAACAAATCTACCATTTACTTCTGGTTCACATAATTTAAAGTGCAATCAAATCATTTAAACACTCATAATGTTGCTTACTTTAGGTCATGAACATATTCGGAGAACAATCAATAAATGAGCCAGCGCTACTGCATAATAGAAGGTCAGCATGCTATAGCATGTGGGTTGTTTTTCCCCCTTTTATATATAAATCATTGAGCTACCAGTATTAAATGAAAATTAAATGAAATAAAACGTGACCAGCAGGACCTTTGCAAACGTTTTCAGTTAATCAGTGGGATGCGGATGCACGAGTGGATGTACAGACAGATTTTTAATCCTCTTTAATGCAGATGAACAGATAATCCCAATCTTGTCTGTGCGCGTTCTGCTTTCGCTTCCTTACACACATGAATATAAACACCAGCTGGATGTGTTTGCATCTCCAGAGAGAGTCTCCAACTCAAGACTTCTCAAAAAACTGGAATCTAAAATGAAGAAAGACACTATGACTCCAACTCCCTGGCAGAAGCGTGGCACTCCTGCATATATGTATGTGCGTGCGTGTCACTCATCACATGATACAGTCATATTCCAGCAGCAGAAGTGAAAAAGCCCCTGAGGCTTCAGCTCTTAGTTTTTTTTCCTGCATGCAGCATATAACAGGCAAAGCTTCTGATTTGGGTTTTAATCACAATATTCCTCAGGCTATTCCAATAAAAATGAGACGGCATGGTGAGTGACAGGCGAAGCAAGCGAAACTCTTACCATACTGCCGATGCCACCCAGTGTGTGATTGGCATTGTAAATGGAGTAAGTCAACTGGTAGACTCCATCGTTGGTTTCGCTGTTTCCATAGAAACCCACGCCCACCGCTGAACTGTGAAGAAAACAAATCAACAGTTTGTGTTACAGATGTGGCTTCATTTCAATCCAACAATTTCATGTGGCTTTAAAAGTGTTGTTGAAAATTTGAGACTTTAAAGAGATCAGACGAGAATACAAATGGTCCTTGACCTTGATAGAGAAAAATGTAGTAGTTATTGAAGCATTCTTAAAACATCCTCCGCAGGTAAACAAAAGCACCTTCATTTGAACCAAACTGCAAAAGTAGCTGCACAACTAGCAGATAAAACAGATAAAAAAATAATGTGAAAATATAAAAATAATATTTTCCTCGCTAAATGCTTATAACACCATAACATGACTTGCTTTTGTACTTTATGTACATTTATCAAAACAAATTGATAGATCTGGGAGTTCTAAAGGGCAAAAGAACTTTAAAATGCAATCACTCCTCACATGCATACTGTGAGAGGTTTAAGGTCTGTCTTTGAATGAACAATTGACTGAAACTGCTATTACACCTCTCACAAAGTGAAATAAAATTAATACATAAAAAAATATCAAAATGTTATTGGTACACTTTTTGCAACTAAATTGAAATAGTTTTGAGCAAAAATAGTTACCAAAAGCCCTGATGAATTAATATGATACACAATACATTTATAAAAACAATTGCAAAAAAAAAAAAAAAAAAAAAAAAGATTATTCTGACTATTTGTTTATATGTGATATTTAACAGGTTTAAGAATCATTATAATCAAGTATATAAAATTTACATAGGGGAATTTTTAAATCCAAATATTATTTTCTATTTTCTCTGAAATATTTTCAGTAGACCCACACGGAATCTGTGCGTGCAGAAATCTGCAGATTTCCACAGATTTTTAGCCCATTATTGAGTCTAATGTGTAAATGTGTGTAAATTTATATTTACTCAGTTTTTAAATTAATTTTACTAATATAATTGTAATTTAATAATAGTAATATTAAAATGTTCATATGATTTATTTACAATAGAGTTGGTATAATAGTATTTTTTGCCGTTTAGTATATGTTCTATGAGAGACTTGCTTTGTTTACCAAATAAGCGGATCTAGTTTGATTTGCATTATAAGAATTAAATAAAATTTTAAAATTATATATTTTTTATTTCATATATATATATATATATATATATATATATATATATATATATATATATATATATATATATATATATATATATATATGTATATGTATATGTATGTATATATATATATATATAACTTATATATACGTTTTTTGTTATAATAATCCTAAAATCATTCCACATAAATAAAAAAAAAAATAATACATTGTCAGCAGACATAGCAAAAAATGTTCGCAGATTCTTTCTGGCCCTAATATTCAGGTCTGTACTTATAAACATACATTTTGTGTGATCCCTCTTATTTTGGCAAAATAATTAATTCTTTAATTAATAATAGATAATAATATATAAAGAACATTTTTTCTGATTATTCTTATAACTTTTGAGCTCAACTGTAAGTATGATTTGACAGTTTATTTAGTTAAAACTTTTACATCTACATGAACTTTACACTTGGCTGGGTGACTGTATGTTATTGTTTTACAATATTTTACCATTCTGTCTGCTCCTCCGTATTTTTCCCGCATTTGTAATGTTTCTATCAAAAGTGAAAGTAGCAGCTACAAAGAGGCGATCTCAAATGTAATATATATGATATAATTGCAAGAACTGTTTAAGACAATTGTGTTTTGCATTATTTTGGATTGACAGCAAGTTGAAATTAATATAAAAACAGCCGCATTCACGTCCTTTCCAGTAAAGCTTTGTGTCGATTACCGCCCTTATGAATAACAGTGCTGACTGATGGACGCGCTCCATAGTGATAAAGATGAAAGAAAGCGGATACTTTTGAGATTCGGGTGTGTGAACAGATAAATACACTTAATACTTAAATGTGTTTTATTTTAAACACCAACTAATTTTATTTTAAATGAGCATAAACAAAATGTTTTTATTGCATTCCTAAAATCACACCAGTAATCAAACAAAACAGTGGATCAAACGGGGATTCATTTGCTGCTCTTCAATAAGTAAATATAGAAACTTTAATTAATATTTAAATACAGTGAATACAAATGTTGTCTTTTGAAGCTGACGGTCCATACATTTACGACTATCAAATGTTTACCATAAAGCTAACTTTACGCCAGCTTTTAGCCCATAGAATTTTACTGTTTTTTTAACATACTATACAGGATGCAAGTATGCGAGTTCTGACGCAGTCCAAAGCCCATGCAGTGACTGGGTGGCAATAAGGAATGAATAATGATATGGCGGCCTATCACTCTCAAAAATATTAGAAGTTGATTAAAAGTATGGTAATAATAGTGTGGGTTAAGCTTACCAATTTCTTATTAATCAGTATGTCATGCCAGTTTTAATTTTAAGGCATTGTTTGTTCTTTTTTTCCGTTTTCTATTTTGCGCTTCAAGTCTCTTCACTTTTATCTCCATTTTGAACACGTGACTGTAACTGAGCAAAGCATCAGACAAATGGTCAACGAACAGGGAGGGGTGGTATATAATTTATTATTATTATTTAAATAAAATACAGTATTATATTCATTTAAAATGCAGCATAAACATTTTTAACCAAAAATATTTGTTTATTTTTATTATTTGAAAGTTTTACTAAGGATAATTTCAAAAATAGTTTTGGCACAATGGCGCCCCCCATGTGTGGCGCCCCTATGCGCCGCATATACTGCATACCCCCTTTTTGCGCCACTGGTTCAAATGGACTATCCTTTCACTATGTTTGTTGCTGGTTTTGCCCCCTTGACTTCCAATTCTATCTATGTATGGAAATCCTACATAAGTAAATATGAAAATTATTTTTTTTTATTTGTAAAAAGATTTGTGTATTGATGTACATATTGTGTGTATTAAGCAATATGTATGCGTTTGGACCCACATAGGTGCATAACTAATGCACTCTGTGATGGATTTTTTTAGCAGCTTTTAGTTGGTCAGTGGCGCGGTCTATTTCAGCTCCTCAAAATAGCAATGTGCCAACAATTCGCCTTAACACACCTTTGTTTCAGGCCGTGAAAAACAGGACAATTAGAGTTGTGCTGCTCTAAAAATAAGTATTTCTTACCGTATCAGGCTAACGTGGAAACACAACTGGGACTCCACCACTTAGTGCAAGTTGAAACTATTGTCATTTGTCAATGAATCTACCGAATTTTTTGCTTGACAACTGAAGGACGATTATTTTGCATTCTTGTATTCCAGAGTACAACCAGCTCCTGCATTTACACCTAATAGTAGACAACTGTTTGCTGTTTGTGCCACTGTAAAACAAACAATCATAGCAGAGCTCATTATTAATACTTATGACTCTTCCAATTAAGTTAAAAACAGACAATATCATTCAACCATTCGCTTTCCTTCAGCTTAGTCTCTTTATTAATCTAGGGTGGCCATCAATCTATTATCCATCCATCCATCCATCCATCCATCTACCCATCCTTCCAACTGTCCATCCATCCATCCATCCATCCATCCTTTAGATCTATCAATCAGTCTATCCATAGTACAATTAGTTGATCCATCCGTCAACTTATGCAATCTATCCATCCACCTATTCATCCATTCAACCATCCAACCACCAACCCTCCAACTATACAATCTATCAATCAAAACAATCCATACACCCATCCCTCCATCCAGTATTATATCCATCAATTATCTATCATTCTCTACCTAAATTACTCATTGATTAAGTTTGAATGTAGAATTCAGTTTTTTTTTTTTTTTAGGATAATTGACAGCCTACCTTTGTAGATAAATTGCAATGATACTTTTGAGAAGTTTCATCTTTGCTATGTTTTTTATAAGATTAACCCAGGCTAGTCTTTTAACATTATACATTATTTCACAAAACATTATACATATTTCACAAACGAATAAATCACAGACCTTATTTTGGCACAAAACAAAGCAAAGTTGTCTAAACACATTTGCCTCCAGTCGCTAGCGCAATAACCAAGAAAAGTATGCCCTGTGTCTGAGTTCATGAAATTCATCATTTTGACTCAATTGGTCTCATGGTAGCTTCTACTCTGAAGTCTGAGTAAATATTTCAAGAGCAGCCTCCAGAATTGTAGTCTGCCTAATTAGACTGCTGTGTGGTGTCATAACAGCCCAGCAACCACTGCTCACTCTTCTCCAGACAGATCAGATCGGCTTCATTAAGCAACCTCATAACATGCATGTGTCCAGACTGTCAAGCATTGCAGCCGTTCAGTCCACCCCCCAGCCTCCTTATGCTAGTCCCAGCATGATTTTTCTCCTAAACCTCTTTCATATATCTCATTTTCTCAGATGGCTTCAGCAGAAAGGTCATTTTTCAGACTGATAAAAGCAAAAATAGGGCACTGGCTGTGGATCCCGACAGACTGTTACTTCAGTTTGATTCATGGGCCATTTCAGCTGTTGATATCAAATCATTTTTTGTTGTAGCAAAAGATTCCTGTAAGTGACCAGCTTTCCAGATTAATTATTTTAAAAAGCTCACATGGCCACAAGACAAAGCAAGCAGCTACTTATCCATTCATCCCTCTATCCATTTACAAACTTGTCTAGCTATCGATCTCTCAGTCTGTCATTTCATTAATCCGTTCATATGTCTGTCCAGTCAGTCTATCCATAATCAATCTGTATATCTGTAGCACCCTTACATGATTTATCCAACCATTCTTCAATATATCCATCCATCAAGCAATGTCAATCCATCCATCCAATCAATTTATAAATCTGCCTATCCATAAACTCATTCAAATTCTTAAACCATTCAAAAAAATATGTCAACCAATCCATTCATCCATCCAAATAATGTCAATCTATATGTCAATCCATCACTCATCAACCCAACCATCCATAAATTTGTCCAGTCACCAAACAATAATTATATTTTATTCATTAATATCACCATCCTCAACCAATCCATCCACCCATCCA